AATCCCCAATGTTGAGAAGTAGCTGGAATCGCATCATAAGAGGACGTGCTCCTGAAAAGAAGAGGGGAAAATGGAAAATAGACAAAAACAGAAATGATAAATGAAATATCTTTTTTCTATTTCTGAATTTTTCTATTTTTGTTTATGAAAGAAAAGTGAAAACAAATGAAACCAAACAAAAAATTAAACAAAATTAAAATGAAAGAAACTTTAAACTTTGGTTGCCTCCCAAAAGCACAATTGTTTTATTTCATTATGCTCAACATCCAGCTCAACCTGATTAACCTATGCCAACCAAATTAACATCATTAGCACAAAAGGAATGTGAATTATCAGAGATTTTTAATGCTTTAGACACACTAAATTCCACCACATCCCCATCACATTCAACAGAGATAATGCTTTTATCCACATCAATTCTAGTTTTTTTGGTTTTCATGAATGGCCTCCCTAACAAAATTAGAGTGGAACTTACATGGGCATTTCCCATTTTTACAATGTAAAAATCCGCAGGAAAAACTAGTTCATGAACTTGCACTAAAACATCTACTAAAATCCTATCTGGATAGACATGCGAACCATTAGCAAGTTGAATAACCACATTTGTTTGTTTTAGTGGTCCCAAATTAAAGAATTATATGCGGAAAATGACATCACATTAATAGATGCTTTAAATCTATCATACCAAATTCAATTTTCTTATCACCAATAATGCACAAAATTGTAAACATACCTGGATCACAGCATTTTTCTGGTAATTTTCTTTGTATGGTAGAAGAAATATTTTCATTTACCACTACATTTCCCTTATCTTTGAATTTCTTATTCTTAGTACACCATTGTTTCAGAAACTTTGCATACTGAGAATCTCCTTAATAGCTTCCAACAATAGAATGTTGATCATCACCTTGTTGAAAGTGTTCAACGTCCCTTCTTCAAGTTTGGCTTTTTTATCTTGCATCAACCCACTAGGAAATGGAGGAACAGGTTTATAATAAGTATTAACCCATGAAAGTTTTAGTTTTACCTCAGCTGAAATTTTGGGAGATCTTTGTTGATTTCTTCCATTTCTTTCTCGTCCGCCTCTTTCACTGGTGAAGGTGGACTTGTTTGAAACTCTTTTCCACTTCTTAACATCATTGCACAAACATTCTCTTTGGAATTTATGACCATTTGTGAGGGTAACTTTCCCGCATGTTGAGCTTCCAATCTACTCACAATGTTAGCAAGTTGGCTAACTTGGCTTCCCAAGTCTTTGTCGCTAGCCCTTGTTTCCTGCCGAAACTGTTGAGTGTTAATAGCAAGATTTTTAACAGTTTTCTCAAGAGAAGTACCTGAATTTTGTGATTGTGATGGAGGTGATGGAGCCTTGTTGTAGGCTTGAAGAAATCTCTATTGGCCATCATTATTTCCATAGCAGAAGTTTGGATGATTCCTCCATCCAGGATTGTAGGTATTGGAGTAGGGATCATATCTTCTTTGTTGTTGGTTTGGAAATCCTTCTACGAGATTAACTTGCTGAGTTGGGTCTTCTTGAAGAGAAGGACACATCTCTGTTGGGTGCTCAGGATTTGTGCAGATTCTGCAAACCCTAGCTGCTTGTAACTGTCCTACAGTTATTTGACGAACCAAAGAAGTTAAATAAAAAATTTGATTGACAAGAGTAGAATCTTACCTCGTTGGACTGTTTTAGACCTCCGTCGGTTCTCAATCCAAATTGTTGAGAATTTTCATCCGTATTTGCAATCAATTGCCATGCAGCTACTGGTGTTTTGTTCACAAGAATTCCTCCACTAGCTGCATCAATCATACTTCTATCCATTGGTAAAAAGCCTTCGTAGAAGTACTATATTAGGAGCTGGTTTGAAATTTGATGATGAGGGTAACTAGCACAAAGCTTTTTGATCCTCTCCCAATACTCATAAAGAGTCTCTCCAATAATCTGCAGAATCCCACATATATCCTTACGTATATTGCCAGCTCGTGAAGAAGGGAAAAACTTCTCCAAAAATAATCTCTTCATCTCGTTCCATGTGTTAATTGAACCTGTGGAAAGATCATAAAACCAATCTTTCGCCTTATCACCTAAAAAAAAAAGGAAAAGCTCTTAGTTTAATGTGCTCCTCAATGACACCATGTGGCTTCATTGTTGAACAGACTACATGAAACTCCTTCAGATGCTTGTGTGGATCTTCTCCTGCAAAACCACGAAAAGTAGGAAGTAAATAGATTAAACCCAATTTAAGCTCAAACGCCGCTTTAACATTTGGAAGATTAATGCACAAGGGCTGCTGATTCAAATTTGGTGCAGCTAATTCTTTCAACGTTCTGTTATTGTCACCCATATTTTCTTCTTCTTGGAAATTAGAATTATCAGAACTTGATAACTGAGAGTCTAAATTCACCCTAGAATGCAAATTAGTTTTCTTTTTCTTAGCTTCATTTCTCAAAAATCTGATCAACTTTTTCAATTTCAAGTATATAATTAAATTCAATATTTTCAGTACGACAACTACTCATAAACCAGAAACCTCAAAAAAATGTAAAAAAACTAGCAATCCAAAATGATAAAATTCCTATAGTTACTAGCACCCACCAACAAAATTTTAAACTAATTCGCACGGATAAATAGAGATGCAAAACAGCACAATAAACTGACACAAGAAGGCTACTTATTTCTTTTTCTCTGTCTTTTTTTTTAATAGAAGAATTATGGTAGAGCACAATGATTGGATTAAAGGAAAAACAAATAAAATTAACAGGTAATTATTAACTTAAAGTAGAAGTACAACTCAAAATCCGAATAAATATACCAATGACACTAATTCCACCAAAAACAAAATTGGTTCACTTCTGTTGTTGATCGGCGATGGAAATTTAGGGGCTGAATTGTGAGGCTGGAATAGATGGCTTCCACCTGTACGGCTCACTGTAAATTAGAAGAAGTGAAAACTAATTAATAGATAAAAGAAATCTACTACGTAAAAGGAAAAAAAATAATAAAAACAATTTTTTTTTTCAGTAATGCAAAGAAAACTAACGCACTAAAGTAAAAAAATGACTAACTTGTGGTTTTTTTTAATTATTATTACAAAGAATAGAAAGCCAACGCACTAAAAAAACATGAATAGATTGTTTTTACTTTTTCTTCGTTTTTTTCAGAATACTAACAAAAAAATAATACAAGAAAAAATAAATAAATAAAAGAATTTTTTTTTTCTTTTTGAATAAGCGTAACAATAACAACAATGAAATTAAAAAACCAAGACCTAAAAGGGAATGGCTCCCCAGCAAGGGCGCTAAAATTTTGGCGGGTTTGTCGAGACCCGCAAAAATTAATCTGACTTTCAAACAGACCAAAAATTAATTTGTAGAAATAGTAGAATTAGGTCGAATTTCAAGAGAGCCGACTTTTAACTTTTAGTTCTATAAAAATTCAAGTTGGGGAGATTTTTCTTTTCAATGAAATAAAATTGGCAAAATTAAAATAAATAAAACTTGAGAAAATTGTAAGGATAACTTTGATTCAAGGAATGATTCAATTATATTATAGATAATCGACTAAAAAAGATTAATTTCTAACTCAAGCGTTCAACCATAGATTTAATTGGATAACCATAAAAATTCTTCTATTTTCCGAAAATATTTGACCAAGCGCAACACCTAATCAAAACTTATCATAATTTCACTGGGCCAGATAACATTCCATACTAAATTATAACAGCAATAAAATCTTTGAAAATATAGTTGAACCAAAAATTAAAATAATTAAAATAACTGAAGTTATAATATTTTTGTCATATTGATTCCCTAATTAGACTAATCATGCACATTCAACGTGTCACTACCAACATGCATAATCTGTTAATTGTTACTTAGCGCCAAATGTTTAACACAAGAATGCAACATAAACAACTGGTAGCATTAGAAAGAAAATACTTGATTAAATTATCAGATTAACCAAGTATTAACTCTCATAAAAATAAATCAAAATCAACAGATACTTGAATTAAAAGTAGAAAAGAAATAAAGTGAAACTTGAAGTCTCACATATAATATAAATGAATAAAAATCCTTGGACCAAAAAGAAAACTAACCCCTCATGGTGACTACAAACATTTTGAAATGTTGAAAAAAATGAAAAATAAATTAAAACTAAAGCTTAAGAAAAGTGGGCGAAAATGAAAAGGTAGCAGCAGCTTAATGCTTAGCTACGGGGATGTGCCTTTGTTTTTTTTATCAAAGAGGCCCTATTTATAGTGCATTATGACCGAACTAAAACACCAAAAATATGGGAGTCAACTAATCAAATCTGATCTTGGGATTTTAGTTTTGCACGATTTCTTCGACCAAACTGAATTGGAAATCAATTTTGGATCATTGACTTGGTAAAAAAAAATCTTCCAGCAAAATCTTTGTGTAATAGCTTTGATTAACTTTCTTGTGGTAAAATCTTTCCATCCTTTAACTCCGTAAAGTAACTAATAAAACCTTAAAACAGTCCATCTTTCACTGCTTCGCTATCTAACACAAAATAATAATAAAATTCATTAATAATCTTCAAAATATTATCAAAATAGGCATATATAAGATTATAATAAAGTGAATTTTATTATAACTATTACCCCTTGGTATTTTTCGTCTACATCCATTACTGACATGTATTACAAGAAGAAAGCGAATGATGTCTCCATGTTTATCTCTCTAGCTGCGTACGTGTTTTGTGTTTTGAAAGATGTTTCATTGGAATGCTTTATCTTTTTATAGTTTTGTTTTCATTTATTTATTTGAACTCGTCACCTTGTGTTTACACAATTATATCACTCATAACAAAAGACCCAAGTCATCATCAAACATTTTTTTGTTTTTGTTTTTTTTTCTGTCATTTTAAGTCTCTATCAACACTCATTTATGTGTTGCCAAGTAAATGAGTTTATTTGCTTAAAATTCAACGAACACAAAACTATTGATTAGGTGTAACTAAATTCTGCAAGGTGCAGATTTGCAGCCCAATGGCCAAAGTCCGGTCTCATCTACAGAAAAAACAATATCATCCACTGATTCTCCGGAATATTCACCACCGCGCTCATTAAAGACAGAAGAAATTCCTCACATTGTCAATGACTTCAAGCTTGCTGCCATCAATGCAATCAAAGCTGGTATGTTTTATTAGGTTTTAATGTGTATTTTACCCTTACATTTAAGGGGTTAATGTCAGTTCAAATTAGTACTTGGGACAAACTTTGAAAAGTAACCGATATAAGTTATTTTATACGCAGGCTTTGATGGCGTCGAGATTCATGGTGCTCATGGTTTCCTCATCGATCAATTCCTAAAAGACCATGTGAATGATCGTACGGACAAGTATGGAGGCTCCTTGGAGAACCGTTGCAGATTTGCACTTGAAATAGTTGATGCAATTTCTAATGCAATTGGACCTGATAGAGTTGGAATAAGGCTCTCCCCCTTTGCCAACTACTTTGAATCAGGAGATTCGCATCCATTGGAGTTAGGTCTTTATATGGCTGAAGCCTTGAACAAGTATGGACTTGCTTATTGTCACATGGTTGAGCCAAGGATGAAAACTTTTAGTGAAAAAGTTGAATGTGATTACAGCCTTTTGCCAATTAGGAAAGCATTCGAAGGTACTTTTATTGCTGCTGGAGGGTATGATAGGGAAGAAGGCAATCGAGTTGTGTCTGAAAATCGCGTCAATCTTGTTGCATACGGGCGATTGTTCTTGGCGAATCCTGATTTGCCTAAAAGATTTGAGTTAAATGATCCTTGTAATTAGTATCTACGCGAAAAATGTGTACACGCGAGTCTTGTTAATTGTACGTTGTATCACCTATTCCTCCAAACCACTTCATAATTTTAAGTTGTCAATAATTTCTTGTTGATGATTTTATCTTCCGATCTAGGTGCGCTATTTGTACTGGTTTATTGTTGCTCAATGTTCATTTATGGTTTGCGTTGGGGTATGTGTACTAGTTACCCATTCGTTTAGTGATATGGTTGTTATTTTGTACCTCATTCCTCTAGTAGATTTACATTATTCAATTTTGCCTTTTCACTGTAGAGTAATTAGTTGCCAGTAGCATTATTATGTTATGTGATGAGTATTGAGCAAGATGTTGTTGTTGAAGCTTTTAGTTCAATTGAAGGACGTTTTTGTAAACAATTTATACTAGCTAGGCAATCCGTAAATGTAATGAGGTCATACTTGTAGATAATAGAAACATAGATTCCTTATTACAAGCTTTAAATATGACGGTCTGCACATAATTAATTAACACATTTATTCAATACAAATACAATTTTCCGGTTACATCTCCTCTTTTAGGGGTGTTACTTATTTGGATTGATTTGAATACCCGCCTGAACTGCATGGATTCGGGTAATATTCGGTTCGGATTTTCGTCGACGCGTGATTTGATGGTTTAACTGCATACAACAAATAATACATGGAGCGGGTGTGGGTGACGAGAAAAGATTTCGGGACCCACCTGAACCCGAATAGTCCAAGTTAAATCTTTAAAATATATTTCATATATACATACATATAATGATGTAAATTTTAAAATACTCGAACTTACTACTTACTGCTACCAAGTCTACTTGGGTTTTTAATTTTTGGCATTACCCGTCCCTCCCCATTCGGCCATCTCCAGTCCTCCACCTCTATCCAGATCTGCCACCTCCACCGGCGCACCACTCCACCTCTACATCCATCTTCTCCGCTCCACTCTACCTCTATCTAGATTCGTCTTCGTCTCTTCGATCTCCATCATACTGTCGAATCAATCAGCATACCTCATCTTTGATTTCAAGAAGCTGGCTGGAAGAAATTTCCACCACCGCCTCCACAGCATCAGCCTCCACGCCTCCAAGCCTCCATGTGGACCACACCAAACTCCGCCACCCTTAGTTCCTTTGTTAGAGCCTAGATCTATTGACCCAACCACCAAGGTAGTCTTTTTCCTCTCATTTCTTGATCTAACTCACCTCACATTTTATCATTTTTTTATCTCTACGTGAACAACCTTGTTCTGGGATTTTTATGTATGATTTTTTTTCTCTTTCTGTATTCATTTTTAATCAATGGGGTTTTCTTTTTATGAGATTTGGATCTGAAATTTCAGAGATATTACTTTTTAATTCAAACTTTGTGATCACTCTTTGGTTTGTTATGCTGCTGATTTGGTGATTTTTTCTTAAGATTTGTTTCTCTTTCTGTCTCCCAGCCTCCCTATCAGTCTCTAAGTTTGGTGCAGTTGGATGTATACCTATTATCACATTTCTTATTTGCTTTTGGGGAATAAATTTGAATTATTTGGTTATTTAAGCTTAAATTTAAAAGTCCAAGTCTTGTCGTTAACTGAACTACTGCAAATTGGCATAACTGCTCGTTTTCTTCATAAATATTTGTAGTTCTAAATTTGGTGTACGTGTAAAGGTTTAACATTCTCATGTTCTCTTTAATTTCTTTAATTTAGATGGCTAAAGAGCCTAAAGTTCCGGAAAAAATATGCAACATGGAAGAACCTATTGCAGTCCCAACAAAACCTATTGCACCTGCACTTGTGTTACCATCTGTTGCAGTTCCACCCATTGCACCTGCACTCCCACCCATTGTACCGACTAATGATGCCATGATGATTAATGCGGAGATTGAAAGTAGAGAAGCCAAAAAATGGTGTGGATGAGAATATGGCTGAGGAACCTTTGAATCAACGAAGGGCTTGTGGGCAGCGGTCCACAGTTTGGCTCCATTTTACTAGATTAAAAAATGTTAAGGGTGAGGTAATGGCTACCTGTAATTATTGTGATCAACCCTATCATGCGGAAACTAGGAAACATGGAACTAGTGCACTTAAAGACCATTTGTTAATTTGCAAAATGTATTTAGCAAATATGGATTTGGTGCAAACTAAGTTAGTTTTGGACGGTGGGGATGATGAAAAACCAGGGAATATACTTTCTTGGAAGTTTAATGAATAAGAAATTCTTAAAGCTATCGCATACATGATTGTCGTTGATGAACTTCCATTTAAGTTTGTTGACAAAAGGGGGTTTAAATATTTCTTGAGAAAGTATCAACCTTTATTTATTCTTAAGGGTAGGCTTACTATAGGTAATTTGTGCCAGAAGTTGTATTTGGAGGAGAAGATAAAACTAAAGGTTGAGATTAAAAAGGGTGTTGGAAGATTATGCTTGACTACGGATACTTGGACTTCTTTACAGAGAGTGAACTATATGTGTCTCACAGTCCATTATGTTGATAATGATTGGATGCTGAAAAAGAGGATTTTAAATTTTTGTCCTACATATAGTCATAAGAAGTTGAGAATTTTTTGTTTCAGTGGCACATTGATAGTTGTAACTGTAACTGTTGATAATGCATCTTCTAATAATAGTGTTATAAAATATTTGAAAGAGCAGTTTGAAAATAGAAAGAAATCAATTGGTGAGAGTGTTGAAATAGTTAGAGCTGATGTTAAATATGTTAGGCAGTCACCTAAGAGAGATGAAAAGTTTATGAAATGTGTTGAAATTGAGAAATTTAATAGCACCAAGAATTTGGTTTGGATGTTCTGACAAGATGGAATTCAACTTATGATATGTTAGCTATTGCCCAAGCCTATGAAAAAACATTTAGGAGATATGAATCTGGTAATCCACATTTCAGGGATACTCATAAAATGATTACTGGGGAGGATAATTCGGGGTCTAGATTGCCTACTTCAATTGATTAAATAAAAGTTAGGAGGTTGGTTGGTTGTTGTGAATCCGTTTATGAGTTGACATTAAAGGTTTCACATGCTAAATCTGTTACTTCTGATGCCTTTCTTGAGAGTATCATTTGTATTGATGTCTTGTTGAAGAAAATTATAAGTAATTTTGATTATTGTGATCTGAAAGTTATGGCATGTATGATGAAGGGAAAATATGAGAATTATTTTGGTGAAAATGCATCTATTGACATGCTTCTGTAGATTGTAGATTGCTTGTGTGTTGGATCCTAGGAATAAGTTCGAGGAAGGCATGTTATGTAAGGTTTATGGGAAAATTGGAGGCACAGGAAAAAGAGATGATGTTGAAACTGTTGTTCATGAATTGTATGCTGATTGTGTGAGGATTCATGCTCCTACTTATAGTCGGGATGTCCTGTAATCCTCTCAATTACCTCCACTGGGTAAAATACCTTCACCAGTTGATATTGAGCCTTAAAGAATGCTGAAAAATAGTTTTTGAATGGAAATAAGAAAAAAGAAAAGTTTAGCTGGTGGTGATTCAAAATCTGAATTGGATAGATATTTGAAAGAATATACTGAGGATGACTCACAAGTTTGTAAAGATTGGTGAAAAGTTAATAGTGCTACATTTGCTATTCTCTCTTTGATGGATCGTAATAATCTTGCAATTCCACTCTCGACTGTAGCTAGAATCCACTTTTAGCACAAGTTGAAGAATATTGGATGCCTTTATAAGTTCATTAAGCCTAGGGGTAACTCAAAGTTTGATTTGTTCTCAATATTGGCTTCGTACATCTTGTGACCCTGACCATAAGATAGTGGAAGTTGAAGAAACTTGGGAAGATCTTCAGTCAATTGAAGAAGGTTGTAAGATTTCAGTTGAATCTATAGATTTACAATGATTTTTTTTCATTTCATATATTTCTAATTATTTATATTAGTTTTCAGTTGTTTGCATAATTAAAGGCAAATGATACTTGACTTATGTTGGACTAACCATGATGATAATATTCATTTTGCTCAAGGATTGATAGGTAAAGTTTCTGCATTTGTGTTTGAACTGTGGGAGGCTATGTCATGCATTTCAACTTTGAGTTTCTTAGGAATAAAAAAGAGCTATTCTTTCCCCTTTTTTTTTTATACAAGAGCTATTTTTTCCCTGTTGTACAGTTTACAAAGTGGCGAATTGACTTGGTTGTTACTATTGATTGCTGATGTTGAACGCTTGAAGCTGAAGATGGAAGATTTCAGCTAAAGGATTGATTTTTTTGTTGTTCTTATTGAAGATCCTCTATTGTAGTTGTTTTTCTTTTTGGAGATCATGTGTGAATTTGAACCTCTTGTTGGTTGATTAAACTACTTGTATTTGTAAGTTTTAAGTTGAAATTGTATGTGTTTCTTAGATTTGAAATTGTAATTTGTAAGGTTATACAAAAAACTTTGACCAAAGTTGAATTAGTGATTCGGGTAAAGCGAAACTGAACCGCTTAACCCGAAATCTTGTCCGAGTGGCTCGGTTCGGATTTGTATAATTTCAGTTCGGTTGGCGGGTAGTTTTTCGGAAGAAAAAACCGATTAACCCGAACTGAATAAACCAAACCCGCCCAAACCGTCCGAATTAATCCCCTACCTTCTTTAATGATAATTTCACAAATCATAAATTGACAATTCCATTTTTCTTGATGGTATCGGTGTAGGTTCAGCCTGTCTGATCACTGGATTCAGCTTCTTAGATAATTAATTTCGATCGAAAACTAGTGGTTTTTGTTGTGTAGAAATATTTTATTTCTTTAGAAGCCATGGCGCAACACAGATATAAAGATGGCGATCGCGAGAAAAGAGAAGCTCATCATGATCAAATCAGGATCAACAGTTTGTTAGGGGGCTGAACAGTTACAACAATGGCAAGACAAATTTCAATGTTGCTTGGTCATGGAAATATACCTTGTGATTTATGGTATTCATCACAACATATATGAAACATTCAGTTCAGACTATTCAGTAACACTCTATGTAAATGTAAAGCATTATCTAATATGAAAATTAATGTTCCATCCTCCACTCAAGAGCACAATTTTTTTTTATGTTTATAATTGGCATGTTTGATAGTTGAGTCCTTGCAAAATTTGTTGGAGAGGATAAACTTTAAAACCTAAACATTAATATAAATGAATGAGGCTATCTGTCTTTTATATCAACAAATTCATTTTTTTTAATAGCAATACATTTATAACTTTTAAATAGAACAATTGTGCCGATCAATTAACCATTAGTCATACTAATTAGCCAAAAGAAATAACTGTTAACATATTGACTTTTTTTATTAAAAAAAAAGGAAATGCATAACAAACAACCATAAAAATCGAGGAATGCATGAACAAAAACTTAGTAGTGCTTGATGAGATTATGTAGAAGTAGATAGAATTGGAGGGATAATGTTAAAGAATTAGAGGTCGAGAATATCAATTAAGCAGCATCTATAGAAATGGTAAGGTTTCATAGAAACTCATCCAGATAGAGCATTCATCATGACAAATATCAAATTGGCACTAAATAAAGTAAAAACATAACCTAATAAACCAAGAATCCATACATGTATCTCTGCATTGTTTCACCCAAAAGAAACTTAGCAAATTGTGACATTTTTTTTCGTCATTTTTTATTAAGTTAGTGTGAGTTGTACTTTTAGTTTCTACACGTGTATATATGTTAATTAAGTTAGTATAATAGATAAGTAGAAGTAGTTATCAAATGGGTAACTAAGACACCTACTTTATATGGTGGCTACTGATGCTTCATCAAGCAATGATTTGTAGTCTCATTTGCTTCTGTGCATTGTGAGGACTGGAGGTGCAGATCTCATTGACCGAGTGCCTAAATACTTTTCTTCCATCCAGTTTTATCAAACTGTGACGAGTTCTCACACGGAGTTTTGCTTCTGATCAAAGAAATAGATGCGAAGAGTTCTCGAATTCTTATCAAGACCAATAATAGGAATTCAATAAGAGCTGCTTATACAAAGTTTTTTTTTTATCAACACGAAGTACTTGGTACTTATTACAGATAGTAAAGAAAAGCTTAGAGAAATCTCAATAATAGTTGATACAATATATATAATAAACTTAAGTGGCAACCAGCCAAAACTTTGAAAAAAAGAGGGATGGACAGCTAAGAGTACTCAAGGGCAACGGAGCAAAGCTCTGAACAAGGGATGTGAGAATGCGAGCAGTAGACCAGCCGAGGCATCTGGAGAACATTCAACAATTGGAGGCCAGCCGGATCAAAGCCTCTTCAACCTAACAAATCTCTAAACACTTGTTCTTTGATCCAGTGGGCAGCAATTGGGTTTCATGTTGGGAATCACCAGTATGTTCTTCCTCAAACAAGAAAAATGAACATATAAAATTTCTGCCTGATTTTACTTTTTTATATTAATTTCTAAGATAATCAAATTACTTTAGCCACTCAAAATCTGGTAATGTATTTTGTATAATTTCTTGAATAATGTAAATTTGAACTGTATTAATCATGCCAAATTTTTTAATGTAACTAGTATATTATGGTAATTTACTCTTTTACCTATAAAAAAGAAGGAAACAAATTGATATTCTTTCAAAGAAAAAAAATAAAATTAAATAAATTGAAGTAGTTAATAGACAGTCAATTTGTTAGTTACTTTTAAGGTTAACTGTCTTTTGTATATATATATGTATCCAATGGTAATTTATAAGTGGTCGGACAAAAAATCCCACATCGCCGTCATGAAAGCTCTGTCACCTATTTATAAGATTAAAAGGCCACCTCACTCATTGTCAATCGATTTAGAGATGGGAGCCCAAGCCCCAAGGTGACTTTTAACATGTTGGAACAAAGAATCCCATATCGCTGTGGTGAAGGATCTTTCACCTGTTTATAAGTGTCAAAAACTACCCCACTCATTGCCACTTAGT